GCTTCCTATACAGCCACAGAACTATGAGCCAATTAAATCTTTTTTCTTTATAAATTATCCAGTCACAGGTATCTCTTTTAGCAATGCAAGAATGGACTAATACATACCCCTACCTAAAACCACCATGAAATCAACCTGTGCAATATATACCCCTACCTAAAACCACCATAAAATCAACCTGAAGACAGTCTCTGCACCCCAAAGAATCAGACAAAAAAAAAAAAAGGTTAGATTATTCGGAAAAAGTGGATTATTTGCTATTTTCATGTCCTAATTTTGTATGCTCAATTTTTGGGTCCTGGTAACAGTCTTACATGTTTCAAAAAAGTCTAGACAAGAATAATCCAGAGCAGAAACAAACAAACAAAAAAACCCTACATATTTTAATCACTGATTACCCTTTGCCTGAATGTCATGTCTTTTTGTTTGTGTTTTTCCTGAGAGTGAAGTTTAATATTAGGACTTATTTTTAGTTTGCTGGTTCTGCTGATAATGAAAATACCCCTGCACCAATTTACTGCTTGCTCAAAAAACAAAACAAAACAAAACAAAACAAAAAAAACAGACTGAAAAACTAAAAACAAACAAAATGATCAGGCATCAATGTAGAATTAAATAAGGAAATGGCAGGGATGCCCAAGGTAAAGTAAAGCAAGTGGGGATTACCTGCAACTCTGCTCCTTTGGTGTGAATACCTGAAATGTGACACCATTAAGAAAATCCCTCTGTCCCTCAGAATAATGTTTCCCAAAGAGTGGTCCTAAGACCACCTGCCTGGCTCACCTCCGTTCTCTGAGGCCAGTCTCTATGGTGCTGGGTGTGGACTTTCTCCCAGGGAGAAACTGTTCCTAGCAACCTCTCCAGGTGACTCCCGTGCACAGTGAAGCCTGAGAACCCGTGCAGCTGCCAGTTAACTACGTAACTGACCTACGAGTTGGAAGGGAATACCGCTGCTTCAGACTCAAAAAAAAAAACCTAAAAAGCAGACTTTGTTTCTTGAAAAACACACCATTGGGCTTGCCTCACAGAATACCAACAGCTACTGTGGCAGGCACATGCCTGACAGTTGGGGAAAATAGTTGGCTTTGGGGACACCACCACCTTTCCCAAGTCCCCCAGGCCGAGGATGACATATCCTTGTATCACACCATTTCAGTGTCACCAGGCAGGGACAACGGTGGGATGAGATACAGCGCAGTCCTATGTAAAATGACAGAGGGACACATAAGTACTCTAGCTTTTGAAAGTCAGATGTCCTGGGAAAAGAATGAGCCCAGCTCTAGGTGGCCATGGGGAGAAATTCCCACCCCCACCTGCAGGACAAAGGCCAACCTGCTGGGACGCTGGGTGTGCTCCAGGCCAGGTGGTTCAAACATGCAGCCATTCTCCCAAGAGGTGGCTGAAAGTGTCTGCCTTCTGGGACATGGGCCTTAATGATGGACAATTAAAGAGCCTTCCTTGCCCCCTGTCTTTCCTAATAAGAGGCAAAGCCACTGGGAAAATCAATTTGATAAACGTGGCATAGAGCTGGCTGTCCCACACAGCTGGGATGAACAGGGACAGAGCACTAGAGACTGTCCTGGAAAACTCAGATCCATCTATATGGCGGTAAACTACCGCAGGGCTCAGACAAGGCCTGGGGGAGAAACAGAGCATTGCGCCAACTTAGAAACGAAGCCTCATTTTAGGGAGAAGAGCGGCTGCCCTTCCTGCTAACCATGTCCTTGGAACTGAGGCTGGGCACAGGGAGGCTGACGTGAGGGGCCGAAGGCCAAGGTGACCACAGGAAGGAGGAAGAGGCCATCTTGCTTAGAATTTTAGGCAATGGTGATTTCAGAGGTGAAAAGAGGGTACTATCACAACTAAGTGGAGGACCCTTCAGAGTCATGTGGGGGTGCAGGGGCTAGGTGGGGATAAGAGGGCTCCTGAGGGCCCAGGAACAGCCAGCAAACCAGCCTGTCACACTCACCAGAGGCACCCAAAAGTCCTAATCTTGCCCACAGAATGGGGCAGGAGAAGACCGCCATAAGTCCAGGTGAAGGAGTCAGCCCTCCCCAGCTCTCAGGCAAACTTCCACTGCTGCCACAGGCTCTCTGAGCTAGGATCCCAGATTTCGCGGCCTGTCTCCTCAGCACTAGGGGCACCAGAACCAGGCAGGAAAGCGAAGAAAAACTGCAGAGTCTGAGTGGATGGACAGGGAGGGCTCCAGGAAGCATCACGTGGGCACCAGAAGGTGAGACAACAAGGCAGCCTAGGAACTCCCAATTCAGCTAACTTGATTCACCCAGTTTTGCTCTAAGGAGGTGCTGCCTTTTAAACAGAGTTTGTCGAAGTCTTTTTACAACTTGCCACGGAGTGACACACCTAACCCGTGTTACAGCCGTGTTGCCTCCCAGCCGCCCACTAGGCCGGTGAGAGGATCTCTCCCACTTCATGGCTTAGGAAATGAAGGCATGGAGAAATCAGGCAATTAGGAGCGGAGGGACCAGGTTCACCCTGGCCTTTCAGGACTCCAAAGCCAGCACTCCGATCTCAGCGCCATGACAGCAGCGGTTCCAATCCTGACTGCACACAGGGGTCCCTGAAAAGCTTCCAGATGCCCCAGGATGGCAAGGGCCCTGTCTGTACCCCTTTACCTAGCACTGTGCCTGGCATAAGTTAGAAGTTAAATCAAAGCGTATTGAATGACTGCATGTGAGTAAAATTACTGCTAGATTTTAGTATGTTTTAATAACACTGGTATGTTTTCATGATGCAGAAATTCAGATGAATGAAATAAAAGCCCCAGCAGCCAAGTTAGGGGCTGTTCACCCTGAATTCAGGCCAAGATCTAGAAAGTGCCAGCCTTTGCCATGCTGAATTTACCAACCTAAATATGAAGTGGCACAGTGGCCTCCTGTGAGGGGTAGCGGAGAGCCAGCACAGCACCAGCTACCCTCCACCAGCTACCCTTTCAGAGGAAGGCCAGCCGCTCTCTACGGAGAACATGTGCTGTCGGTACTGGGCACTCAACCCTCCAGATTCACTCAACCACTGCCCATCTTTCTCCTCTGGACACAAGGAGGTGCCCACCTTCCTCGGGGTTCCTGCCCTGGGCACACTTCTCCCTGCCACTGGCTCTGGGGGTGCAGAGAGCAGCTGGCATGGGTCAGGAGGAGGGAGTGGAGAGGGAGTGGAGTGGCAGCAGTGGGTTCGTCTGTCTGCACGGGGCCTGGTGGGAAAGCACAGGTCAGCAGAGACCTTTCCTGCACATAGGAAATGAGCGGGAAAGGAATCCTGGGGCAAGGCAGGGAAGAGGCTCACAGAGAGTGGCTCTAACTCAGGAAGTGCTTCCTAAAGGGAGGAGGAGGGAAGAAACAGAAACAGCATGGGTGGAGAGGCCTGGAAACCTCCTGTGTGAGTCAGGATTAGGATAAAGAGAGACGGGGTGGAAGGTGGGAGGGCACCTGGGGACCTGTGTGGAGGGGCTGCTGCTCTCCCGGGGAAGGAGGGCGTGGTGCCTAGTAGGCCGAGGGAGGGCTGGGAGGAGACAGGCAACAGTTCTGCCTGAAGCCAGGCGGGGGGCCCAGAGCGGGAGCAAGAAGGGCAAGCTGGCCCAGGTCGGCCCCAGGAGTGGATGACAGGTCAGCTGTGTCGCCATGGCCCTGGTGCACGTCCCAGCCTTCTCTCTGCTGCCTTGGAAGGCATGGGAGGAAGCACACCCGAAAGTGAGTGTCGGGTGGGAGGTCTTGGCAGGACGGCCTCTGGGGACCCTGGTGTTCCTGTCTACGTGGCACGCTCTTAAATGTGCATCCACCCATCTTCTGATGGGAGTTTCAGTTTTGTTTCTTGTGACTTCTATCTGAACTGTTCGGCCCCACCCCAAAGACACCCCCAAGCTGGCTCCACAGAGCAGGCTCTTGCTTTCTAGCCCCGCCACCTCCCTGCTGTGCACCCTCCACGGCCGGCCACGGAGTGACACACCTAACCCGTGTTACAGCCGTGTCGCCTCCCAGCCACCCACTAAGCCGGTGAGAGGATCTCTCCCACTTCATGGCTTAGGAAATGAAGGCATGGAGAAATCGGGCAATTAGGAGCGGAGGGACCAGGTTCACCCCGGCCTTTCAGGACTCCAAAGCCAGCACTCCGACCTCTGCGCCGTGACAGCAGCGGTTCCAATCCTGACTGCACACAGGGGCCCCTGAAAAGCTTCCAGATGCCCCAGGTGGCAAAGGGCCCTGTCTGTATCCCTTTACCTAGCACTGTGCCTGGCACATGTTAGAAGTGAAATCAAAGCTTGCTGAATGACTGCATGTGCGAATCTGTGAGTGAAGACACTTCCCTGCCGTGGATAACACTATCATTCCTCCATCATCCTGACCTGACGCCTGGAGCCACCTCACCACAGGAGCCCACCAACTGGACCCAGACTAGTCTCTCCCTTCCTCCAGCCCTCTGCACGTGGATAGCCAAGGAACCTTCTCAGAACAGCCCTTTCACCCTCTTACCTTATGTTGTTCAAGGTTTCCAGGGCTTGCTCTGGGTTTGAGGATATACTCCCAATTCCTTGATCTGCTATTTAAGACCCCCAGTGACCTGGTTCCAACCTGTCCTTTCACTCACATCTCCCACCACTCACAAACTGTTCTAGCCAGGCGAGTGTCCTTCTTGTCTCCTGTATATTCCCACTAATGTGACTGTGGACCATGGATGGCACATCCCTCTCTCTCCACCACCTGTCTGGATCCTACCATCTGGGAGGACAGAACTCCTACGCTTCACCTCTGCTCTGCACCCCAGCTCCCAGGGAGCCTTTCCAATGCCAAACATCTATGCCACGGATCTTACCTGGCTCCATTCTAATGTGACTTCCAATTGACATTGCGATGTGCACATGTCCTAATTTCCTAAGTACATTAAGATCACTTGAGGACAGGAATTGCAGGCTTACTAAGGTTGCACATTCTCTGTGAGTGCCACTGGGCATTCAGCAGCTCCCGTCTCCATGCGGACGGTCTTACCTGTAATATCTGGACTGCAAGTAGGTGGAGCACACAGCCTTGGACACGTGGCTGGCTGAACCAAAGTCGATGACCTTGACTCGGTACGGTTGTCTGGAGGGATCCACCAGCATGATGTTTTCTGGTTTAAGGTCAGCATGGATAAGACCTAGGCTTTTGAGTTTCATCAGGGCCGTGGCTACCTGCTGGAGAACTGGGCGAATGTATTTGAGGGGCAAGGGGCTGAACTTGTTTTGCTTCAGAAAGTCATAGAGGTTCTGCTCCAGCATCTCGAAGACCAAGCACGTGTGGTTCTTGTGCTGGAAGCACTCGTAGGCCCGGACGAAGTTGTAGTCATCAGCACTCTCTGTGCTCAAGCGGGCCAGGATGCTCACTTCGATCTGACCTTGACGGGCATAGGATGGGTGGTTCTTCAGGATCTTAATGGCCACGATCTCGTTGGTGCCCCGTTTCCAGCACTTGACCACTTGCCCAAACGTCCCTCGGCCCAAGAACTCTAAAACCTCGTAGGTGTTGGTCATGGAGCACAGCACCTCATGCTGTACCAGCTGATAGTCTCCCTCGCTGTTGGAGCCGCTGTTTTTGGAGGTGGCAGTCGACGTGGTGGCAGTGGCGACAGTGGCCCCGCTTGCATTATTCTGAATCATGGGTGGATGCTCCTCAATGATCTGCACGCTGCTTGTGTTCTCAATCTCCTCGCTCTTACGCTTGAGTCCACATTTTTGGTAGGTATCAAGTAGGCTCACAGTGCTTCGACGCATTAGGTTATGTGGTCCGCCGAGGACCTGCCCGGTGGCAGAAGTGCTGCTTGCTGATGTGACCACGATGTGCCCGGTGCTTCCTGGGAAGATGATGGTCTGCTCGTAAGGTAGGCTTGGGTTTGGGACCGGCAAGGAGGTGCTGACGGTTGTGGCTGGCTGCGACGGGGGGATGTTCTTGCTCTGGCTATACACTTTGCTGTGGGAGCCGTACCCAGTCATGTCCCAGTTGGAACTCGGCTCTATTTTCAGTTTCTTCACACTACAGAAGGCACTTGATTGAAGGGTGTGAGGGGAGAAAACTTGCACATGTGAGGCCATACCTACAAGGAAAGGAGGCAAAAGGTAAGTATCGGAGTCACCTTGGTACAAGTCAACTCAACAGATCCCCTTCAGTGCTCAGCTGTGGCTTCGGCCAAATAGAGTATTTTCTTCCCACCTGAAAACAAGGCTGGAAAACTGAATCTGTTCCACCCAGAAGCACATTCTGGTCATTGAGTTGGTGGAACCAAGTGGTTCCAGGGTGCCACCATTAGGTGACAGCAACACAGCTGAGATGCAACAACAGAATTCCAGTATCAGGACACAGGTCATCATCTGTCTTTTTAATAAACATTATTTGTGGCAGAGATGGATTCTTCCTCAGTTCTCCCTGGGCTGTTTCCTACTGAAACTGAAGACTCAGGAGGCACTGCTAACTGTCAGGTGCTTCGTCGCCCACATAATCAGCTCAGCCTTGTCAACAGACTCTGTCAGGTTCACTGGTTTGAGGAAACATCTTCCCACACAGGCCCCATCACCAGGCCACTCAGGATCTTCTGGATCCTGGAGGAACCCTAATTACTAGCTAGCATCTTAGTCATCGTGAATGAATTCTACAGGGTTGAGTGACTTTTTCATCTCGACAGCCTAAAACATTTTATCAGCCTCACTGGTGGGGACTAGGTAGCACAATTCGTGGGCTCCATTCACTCACTTTTCCTGCTAAATTTCATATATCAATCCATTTCTCTAGAAAGTACTATTTCTTTTTTTTTTGAGACTGAGTCTCACTGTTGTTGCCCAGGCTGGAGTGCAGTGGCGTGATCTTGGCTCACTGCCAGCTCCGCCTCCCAGATTTCAAACCATTCTCCTGTTTCAGCCTCCCAAGACTGGGATTACAGGCACATGCCACCACACCCGGCTAATTTTTGTATTTTTAGTAGAGATGGGGGTTTCGCCATGTTGGCCAGGCTGGTCTCAAACTCCTGACCTCAGGTGATCCACCCTCCTCCGGCTCCCAAAGTCCTGGGATTACAGGCGTGAGTCACTGCGCCCGGCCGAAAGTACTATTATTTCATACCAACATCTCATCCACGATTTAGATGAACTCAGAAACCTTTAAGACCATTATTCTGGAACCCTTGTACAAATTATGGTGATACTGAAACAAGAATTTATAGAAAAAAGGTGATGAAGAAGGATAACTCCTTAAAGGTAAAGAGAGAAACAAATATTGCTTATCTTCTAAGCCACAGTTGACAAAAATTTCTCACAGAAGCGCAGGGAAGGGGAGCGTCTACAAGCAGTGTTGATGGGGGCTAACCTCATTCCTGACTCTTGAGCCCCCGGCATTACCTAGAGTAGTTATTCAACATCCTTTCCACTTCATCAACTATCACCCTAGTCCATCTACTCTCTTGGTTGATGACCCAACTTTCACTTTTTCCAGAAGCCTGAGGTCAGCCTTACCTTTCCCCCTTTATTTCCTTCTTCATTTCAGAACATTCCTGAATCTACATCATCATCCATCCTTCATCCCTTCTCTCCAGTCTGAGAGAAAGAGGTGTTGCTCTGTTCCAACACTAAAACACTTGCCCCATTCTTATGATCCATATTTGTCCCATTTTCTCTTGAACCTGCTTCTGCCACAGTTTTCTGTTGTAGCTTTCCATTTCTCCCTGTACTTAATTGGATCCAGGTACTCAGTAGGAACTTAACATGGCTGGCCAAATGAATCGATCACTCATCTTTTTCTTCTGCCTTCATGTGTGTGCACACACAAACTCCCAACGTGGAAGGCAAAAGGAGTAACAGCCACAGTCCCCCCTCTTAGTTCTTGCCCTCCTCTCACCTGTGATCAATGGTTTATGCTCCCTTTTCTTCAATGCCCACATCTTAATCCATCTCTATAGGCTGGTGTTCTTAAAGGTAAATGACTTCCTAATTGCCTAATCCAATGGCCTTTTTTCAGCCAGTTCTTCTTAAGGTCTGCAACATCTGATACTGCTGACCACGACTTCCTTCTTGATGCTCTTATCAGGACTTCGGTGAATCTGTAACCCCCACCTCCCGTGTCTGACTGCATACTCTGCGCTCGGGTGGTTCCTCTTCCTTTTTATTTATTTTATTATTATTATTTGAGGCAGGGTCTTGCTCTCTTGTCCAGGCTGGAGTAGTGCTATCTCGGCTCATTGCAACCTCCACCTCCTAAGTTCAACCCATTCTCCTGCCTCAGCCTCCCGAGTAGCTGGAACTACAGGTGTGCACCACCACGTCCAGCTAATTTTTGTATTTTTAGGAGCGACAGGATTTCACATTGGCCAGGCTGGCCTCAAACTCCTGACCTCAAGTGTTCCATGTGCCTCAGCTTCCCAAAGTGCTGGGATTACTGGTGTGAGCCACCACACCCGCCTCTCTTCCTCCTTTAAAATGTTTCCATCTCCACTGTTTTGACTCTGTTCTCTCTGGTAGATATCATCCATTCAAGCAGTTTAAGCCGTCACCTCTGTGTAGGTGACCCCACACATTTACACTGGCTGGGCTCTCCTTCAGAGGTGACAGTGATAGATCGCTGCCTCCGGTAACAATGTCAAAGATGCACTTCCAAAGCCGAACTCCTTATTTGTTCCTAAAAATCTAACCATCTCACCCCCTGTTCTAACATCTCCATGACTGTTCATAAAGTGTTTTTCTAGTCACTTGGCTCCAAAACTATGAACTATGATGGTTCTTCTTTACCTTCATAGACAAGAAGGTGCTAAGCCTTATTAATTACTCCTTCCTTCAAAATATCTCTTGCATCCAATCATTTCTACTGTTGTTGCCACTTCCATAGTGAAAGCGTTGATCACTTTCTAGTAGGACTAAAGCAAATCTAGACATCTTACCTACCTGAGCACTCTGGCTCCCTTTAATTTGCCTATATTTGGCTACCAGATTAATCTTACTAGAACATCTCTGAGCATGTCACTCCCCTCTCCAAACTCCAGTAGCTCCTTAGTGTCAAGGAGATAAAGTTGGGAACTCAACGCCTTTGCATGTTGATTCCAACTACCTTGTTAGTTCCAGCTCTAACCTTCTGGATCCTCGACTTGAACAAAGCTAGTCTATTCACTGGTTCTAGAATGTCTCTGAAATGCCCTACCTTCATACTCTTACACCATTCCCCTACTGTGACTTCTCTCAACGTATCCAAAGACCAGCCAGACTAGATTCCTTCTCTTTCCAGACCACTCCAAGCCAGTGATCATTCCCAAATCTCTGTTCCTACAGAACATGCCATATGTACCATCTGACTTCGGCTCTGACTTCCTAGGGGCAGTTCTGCTAACACCCAGCCCCTGCTCCAAGCCCTGCCTCCGCCGGGCCCATGGATCTGCTCGAGGGTTCCCTTCTCACTTCAATCCTGACCTCTGATGTCCACCTACATACTGTGACTGCACATCTGTAGGAACCCTCCTGCCTGACAAGACTATTCTGGCCTGCTTACTCAGAATCTGTACTTCACCTGTTTCTCCCCATGGCTCTTTTTGTTCAAGTCAACATCCCCCTTATTCTAGAACGACATGTAATATGGCTATTCCCTATTTACCAGTATCAACTGAATATCCATATTGTTCTAGATGTTGTATACAATATAGAAACAACCAATTACTTGGCTTTCAGTGACTTATCTGCCGAGGAGGCAAAGCAAAACAGCCATTTCCTTCCTTTCGTGTCTACCCTGCTGCTTATTTTTCACTCTTTAAGTCCCTCAAGGGGGGCGGTCAGAGATGGCAACAGCAGAAATATGCTGTTCATACATAAAGAAGGTGAGGCTCTAGTCTCTGTTTTCACTGTTTCAAAAAGATCTTGGAAAGGCCGTCCAGGGTGCAGAAGTGGAATTTTACAGAGGGGAAGAGGGTGGCTTATGACTTATTTGTTATTGGGATGACAGCCAAGGGTCATAAAATTGTAGAAATCATCACTGGCTGCCTCTGGTGACAGATGCCTGGGATCAGAGAGGAGAGCTGCGTGGCTGGAAACACCCTGCACCTCGGCCGGCTGCCTCAGTCTCCGGCCTGGCCCGGTGTGGCCCCTGCAACCCCTTTCTGAGGTCAACAGAAACCATACCAAAGGCTGGACACAGCTCCCAGTGCAGCCGTGCTACCTTTGCTCTGTGGCAGAGGCCACTTTGCTTCAGGCAGCAAAATGCTCAAACAAGACAGAGTTAAAGAAAGTCTTTAACGGTAATACTTTCTTAAATCCCTAAAATATCTTTATAAGGAATAAGACTCTGGTGGTGGTTTTGTTGCTAAATCTTAAAATAATCTTATGGCAACACACTTATTTTCAAACATTTCTCCTTAAGAGTATTTCTCTGGAACAAATATTCCTGATTAGTTTAGCTCTCAGAGACTCGAGCCCACAACATTTTACCACTGTATTTATTCAGATCTTAAGGTTGGGACAATAAAGTGGGGTGCAGAGGGGGACTCGATGTTTTTTTCCACTTGAAAGCAAGAGCTAAATGTCTCCTCTCATTTCTTTCTGTACTGACCCTTGGACCAGTCAAGGCTACTTCCCGCCTCATTTGTCAATATCCTTTTCAGGAAAAACAGGGGCTTAATGCACATTGTCAGTTTGATCCTATGGCAAAATCTCAATTGCTTTTTAAGTCATTTCTATACTTCCTAGTTGGCTCTTGAACGAGAAGGCGGATTCTACTCCTCAGTGAGAGACCAGGGAGGCTACTACCGCACCTGGGAGGGCAGGTTTTGAGCCCATCGGGAATGTAAGAGGAGCACGGGTGTTCATGGTAGGATCAATCTGCCACAACCACACCTGCTCCCAGAGGGATGATCTAACCCAGACTTTTCCACAAAAGCCTTAGTGGCCTCCCAAGATAAAACCTGTCAAAATGACCACATTTTCATTCACTAAATCACAGGGAGTCACCATAACCCAGAACTAAAGCTCTTAACAAGTGGCATACCTATTACCATATGACTATCTCATAAACGGGCTGAAGTCATCAACACTGAACCTCAGAGATGCACATGGTCTTACATGTTTGTTAATTATACAGACATGAGTTCCTGTGGATGCTACAGAAGTGATAAGTAAAAAGTATTTAAGAACCAATTTATTAAAATATAAAACAACTTCTATTATGCAACAATATATAATAAACTTTTCATTGCATATGACAAATGAAAAATAGCATCAATAAAACTGACATGAAAACATATCCTATAGTTCGAAGAATTAAAGTCCATTCTTTTTAAGACATTATTTCTTATTACCATAAAGTTCACAAAGTCTGTCATGCCCAAAACGAATCCAGGTTACCCAGACTCAGGGTGTACTTTGATATGCTAAAGTCAGTGACGGCTCTGACCCTTCTTTTAGTTACTTTATTCTAATTTTCATTTTGCATTTATAAAAAGCATGTATATAAGTCTGCATTTCAAAATACTATTTTTAAAACATCTGCCTTCTAGTCTTGATTATAGATGACATTTATGTCTATAAAATGCTACACTCGACTTCATCTGCTATTCCTCAGGATTCTTAAAACACTATGAGTCTCTAGGTTTTAAAATCTTGAGTACTAGGTACATACCAGGCCCGAGGACAGATGTTTTATGGACAGAGTAACCATATGTCCTACTTTGCCTGTTGGACATACACTTACCCTGTTAGGCCAATTCAGTTAATAAGACCACCCTCCTACTTTCGTTTTCACAAAGGTCCTACTTTGAAAACTGGGAAGTCATGTGATGGGTGTAAGTTTCTGTGATAAGTGAAAAAAATCAGACCCTGACCCCAGAAGTTCAAACCTACATCTAATTTGTTTTTTGTTTTTTTTTTAAGGGACAGGATCTCACTCTCTGTTGCCCAGGCTGGAATGCAGTGGTGCGATCATAGCTCACTGCAGCCTCGAATTCCTGGGCTCACATGATTCTCCTGCCTCAGCTTCCCAAGTAGGTAGGACTATAGGGGCATGGCACCATGACCAGCCTCAAACCTAGATAATTCTATGTGCCTTTTGGTCTGTTTTTTTGTTTTGTTTTGGGTCTCTCTGTCTTAATGGTTTAATGAGAAATTCATTTGTCTAGGGTTACAAACAATGTAATAATAAGAGTATCTAAAAATCTTCATGAATTCTTGAAATCTTAACTCACACAGTTTTTGTCATTGTTGTTTTTTAGATGGAGTTTCGCTCCAGTCACCCAGGCTGGAGTGCAATGGTGCAATCTCGGCTCACTGCAACCTCTGCCTCCCTGGTTCAAGTGATTCTTGTGCCTCAGTCTCCCCAGTAACTGGGATTACAGGCATATGCCACCACGCCTGGCTAATTTTTATATTTTTAATAGAGATAGGGTTTCACCGTGTTGGCCAGGCTGGTTTCGAACTCCTGACCTCAGCTGATCACCCGCTTCGGCCTCCCTCGGCTGAGATTACAGGTGTAAGCAACCGCGCCCAACCAACTCACACAGTTTTTTAAAAAATGACATTTGTTAAGGAATTGGCTCGTTTACTGTATTTTTCCCCACTTATTTACTTAGTTTCTTCATAACTTTATATTTCACAATTAGATGAACTGAAAAGTTGCTTCACATCTGAGTACATTTCCTTTCCATTTCACCACCCCTAAATAAATTATCTACTGGAAGATCAGACTACAAGGATGAGTGAGGGTTCAACTACAATTAAAAAAAAAGTTGAATTCAATTTCACTGAATTCTAGCAAAGCTCAAGAGGAGTAATTGTAAGTAAAACAGTGGCACCAATTTTATCAGTATATAATGTTTAATTTGGGTTTGGCAGATGTGAAACAGATTACCTCTGAGAATCCATTTATATTATTAAAGAGAATGGAATCATGATCACCTGATTTTAAGAGGTACTAAAATCTTACTTCCTA